CTGCGATTATTTAAATCACGGCTTCATTTCCCTTTGCTGATCAGCCTAATCTACATGGCTCCATCGATGGAGCCATGTAGTTTAGACACACAGGACAGTGTACATCCAAAATGCTTCTTGTGATTTCTTTTCTGGTTGAAGCAAGTTTATTTAAAAAAGCAGGAAGCTTTCAATAGAATGATGTCTCTATTAAGAGAAATCATGAACCCAAATTAACTCAGGCAGGTTAGCTGGGTAACCTTTTGAACTTGCATCTTAAACTGTGTTTTGAAATGAACGATGTTCAACTTGTCAAGTATCTGAGTAATCTGTATGATCAGTTCCTGATGAAAACGTACTGGCAAACACACTGAACATTGTTGAATAACACAACTGTGTGAGCAAATTTACTACCTTGCAAAGGATCATCCTGCATTCATGAGCAAAGACAGAGGAATAAGAAATTCATTAATCATAAAAGTCTACAACTGAAGAGCAAATATCTACAGTCAGAGACACAAGTTAGAGGAGGTAATAATTTTTATTAGATCAACTTCTGTTGGTGAAAGAATAGCTTTAGAGTCACACAAAGCTCTTGTGAGCAAATTTACTACCTTGCAAAGGATCATCCTGCATTCATGAGCAAAGACAGAGGAATAAGAAATTCATTAATCATAAAAGTCTACAACTGAAGAGCAAATATCTACAGTCAGAGACACAAGTTAGAGGAGGTAATAATTTTTATTAGATCAACTTCTGTTGGTGAAAGAATAGCTTTAGAGTCACACAAAGCTCTTCTTCAGTCAATTGTTAGGTTTATCTCAGCTTGTCATGTAACAGGGTAGCCTATGCCATCATCTATTTATTGGTTGTCTGAGCTTATGTACCCTTCAAGCTCCTTCCCCTACCCCACTCACTCTTCTCCCCTTTACTCCCCTAATTTGGAGAAAAATACAAAATCCAAGAATGTAGCTCCTACCTGTGCTAATTAAGACAAGAAATAAAGATAATTTGATTAAGATTAAATCTGGGAAGCTCTTCTACTGTCTAATTGTGTTTAGAAGCCATAGATAAATTAAGGGACAACCCAGGGCACAAAGGAGCTATATCCTACCTTGCCAGCAGCAAAAAGGTGACATCCTTTAATAACCTCAAAGATGTTTGGTGAGATATCGGGCTGGGCTGGGAGGTGAGACTGGGCTAGAGACTGCTTCACTTTCTTTACATCAACAAGACACAGAGCCCTCTCTTCTCCTGAAAACAGAAACAGTTACACTTTTTCAATGTTAGGTGATCAAGCAAGCGGTAAATTTCACTCTTTGTGGCAAGCGCCTATTGTGTTATGTAAGCAGCAGCTTCTCATTATGGGTTGTTACTGTGGTAACAGCTACAGTACATTGTATATGCAAAAAATAATGCCGTGAGAGAGGATTTTTAAAAAGGAGTAATAAATACACCCAGGAGAACAAGCACTGTCTCCTTGGATAGTTACAGCTGCTAATTCTAGCTGAACAACATTAGTATGTGGCCCCACAAAAGCACGACCTAGATTAGCCAGGAAGGCTCTTCCTTTCCAAGTGAAAGATGCTCTATCATTTCTGCCCACACAAGTTTGTAGTGGCGCATCATGGTGCTACTGTTAAGAATCACTGTGACCCATGTTGGAGTCCTGAGGGTTCAGTAATATCACCGTTTCAAAATCACCTGGAGTGTATTTTTGGTCTACAATTACTTGCTTTCCTACAAACTTTAAATACTGTTTAAAAAGCTAGGGCAACAACAACAAAGTTTCACAAATTTGCTGTATACTATTAATTCCCTACAAACATGATACAGGCGGTGTAGATATTGCATTACACTATCTAGTCTTTTTAGTCAAAGGGTGTGTCTACACTGCACCGTTTTTCTGGAATAATGGCCGGTATTCCAGAAAAACAATTAAGGCCTCTTCTGAAAATGCTATTTCAGAAGAGGGTGTTTTTAGCCATTTTGTGTGTAGTTTTGTCAAAAAAAGAGGCCTCCAGGAAATCCCACAGGTGCCCTGCTGGCCACTCCGTCCACACTCATCGCAACTCTATAGTTCCTGTTCCCCGGCAGCTCTTAAAGCTGCAGACATGGGGGACAGGGCTTGTGGCAGGAAGCAGGCCTTCAGAGCTTCCAGCCA